CTCAGAAGTAATATACTAATATGTACGTTCTAATAAGACTAGAAATTTCAGTATCAATATCTAAAAGTATAAAACCTAAATTTATACTGGTCACGTGCCCACCATTGTTACATTGCGGCGGCCCATTGCTAGGCTCCACGTGTCAGTCTTGAATACTAAGCAAAACTAACCACACATACCAAAATTGTTCCCCACATGTTCTTCTCTCTAATGTTTGGTAAAAGCCTAGGTTTAATATCCAATAAAATTTACTAGTCTAAAAACAAAAGTCAAAAGCTTAAGCTAAAAAAGCCAGCTCTAATACACGTTACTATGTTATTGGCTTATGAATAGTAACTTATACTTTAAACCAATTGAACTGTTTATGTAGTTATTTTCTTAAATCTCATTTGTCAAAGAAAGTAAAAATATTTGGAAATTCTAGTCCTCAGGTAATGTTTTTTAACCTGTTTATTTGGGAGAAGAAGATATTTAAATTGTGTGTTCCTTTAAGTCATCAATAGCGTCTGTAGTCCAACGGTTAGGATAATTGCCTTCCAAGCAATAGACCCGGGTTCGACTCCCGGCAGACGCAATTTCTTTTCATTTTTTGTCTAATAAACTTCATTAGACTAAACGATGTCCTTGTTTTTTAAACCAGGAAACCAAACCGCTAAGACTTCCCCACGTGTGTGGTCTACAATCTCTATCGATTTCACAGCACAAAAATCAATCTGTCGCGCTTTTGAGAATTTTCCAGAAATCAATCTTTCAAGTTTTGAATTGAGGCATGGAGGTTTCATCTTCACTCAAGCTCTCATCATCGTTATCTCCTTCCATTATCAACCTTCAGGTTAATTCCTTTGTTCTTTGATCTTCCTATAGTCTGTTTATCGAAATTGGGTTTGAAAATTCTCACGAAGTTTCTGCTAATACTCTACTTTGATGGGATAAAACTGTTGCTTTCAGGGTTCTTCATCAAGTATTGATGTAAAATTCTCTAAGTACACTTCACTTCCTAAACCGTTTCTTCAACTTGATGATAAAAGCCGACGTCTTCGTGACCAACAAGCTTCACATTCTCTCAATCTAAGGTCATACAGAAAACGGGTCACCGCGAAATCAGGCTCTCAAGGTTGGGACTTTGGTAGATTCATCAAAACATTGTACTTTTTCAACGGAGCACCATCTCCGTTAAAGGTATATATGAGTGTCTGTTTGATTCTCATTGAGGTTTAATATAGTCATTTGGGGGTTAATTTGATTGTTTCTTGCTTGTGAAGTTTGTTTCATCGGTGTTTGAGAAACTTACTAACGGATCAACGGAGGAACCGGTTACTGAAATGGGAACTTCTGGAATCATACTTGTGGCTGGAGCTACTGGTGGTGTAGGAAGAAGGGTTGTTGATATCTTGAGGAAGAGAGGGTTGCCTGTTAAAGCTTTGGTACTAAACCATTTCGATTGATTTCCCGATGCTTGTGTTCCTGATTCTGAAAATGTGGACAAAGTTTTTAACTTTTGTGGGGAATTTACATAGGTTAGAAACGAAGAGAAGGCTCGGAAGATGTTAGGACCGGACATTGACTTGGTGAGAAATTCTACTGAAATTTTCCACATTGTATCCTTGGTGTCTTTAGAGTTATAAGATCATCGATAACTATTTGCATATATTTCAATGTTGTCAGATTGTTGCAGATATTACAAAAGAGAATACATTGGTTCCTGAAAAGTTCAAAGGAGTAAGGAAAGTGATCAATGCTGTTTCTGTTATTGTCGGTCCAAAGGAAGGGGATACACCTGAGAGACAAAAATACAATCAGGTCGGTGAATTTTCTTGAATGGAATTTTCTTAAAGCTGTGTTTCTTCTATTATAGCTTTGAGTACCAACCCTGTGTGGATATGGGTTTTAAATGCAGGGGGTCAGGTTCTTCGAGCCAGAGGTAATGGAACTAAACAAGCATCTTTCTAAGTTATTGTTTTGAGGAATTTTATTGCTCAATGTTCAAGAATACTAAAACCGATAGATTTTGGGGATGCACAGATAAAAGGTGACTCTCCCGAGTTAGTGGAATATATTGGAATGAAGAACTTAATCAATGCTGTTAGAGATGGTGTTGGACTTGAGAATGGGAAGCTTCTTTTCGGTGTTGGGGGTAAGTTAAGTCAAGTTACTTGACTTGACTCTTAAGTTGACAGTTGACATGGCCATTTTATAAAAGTTTTGCTGATGTTTTGTTTAGATAACACGTTTAAAGATCTACCTTGGGGAGCCTTGGATGATGTTGTAATGGGAGGTGTCAGCGAAAGTAACTTCCTAGTAGATCTAACTGCTGGTGAAAACGGTGGACCTACCGGAATTTTCAAAGGTTTTCATACATAGCAACTCTATTTGCCATGTTTCTTCTCTTGGGCTTTTACTTATATAAAGATAACATGTTTTGTTAGGAATTGTTTCAACAACAAATAATGGCGGATTTACGAGTGTCCGAACCAAGGTAAATGGTACGACTTAATGTCAGAATCTCTCTAGTCTCGCTTATCCTTCGTTATCTCACTGAAGCCCGAGTATTTCTTAAAACTTTTCTTCTAGAACTTTCCCGAGGCGGAGAATGTCTCTGCATATGATGGTCTAGAGCTAAGACTAAAAGGTGATGGACTCCGTTACAAGCTAATCGTCCGGACAAGCCAAGATTGGGATACTGTTGGTTACACCGCTAGTTTTGACACTTCACCAGGCCAATGGCAATCTGTAAGTAAAATCACTTTTGTCATTCATTTCCGATCTACTTTTGTGGGTAAATGAATTATATTTCTGTTAATTCAAATCGTAGGTACGCTTACCTTTCTCGTCTTTAAGACCTGTATTTCGCGCACGTACAGTGACAGATGCACCGCCTTTTAATGCAAGCAGTATCATTTCACTACAGGTTTGTTATCTTTTTTCTGTTAACCCTCTTAAACTTCCCATTCTAAATGTTTGATTAAAGTTGATTGTTTTTCAGCTTATGTTTAGTAAATTTGAGTATGACGGTAAGCTTAACCCGACTTTCAAAGAAGGACCTTTCGAGCTTCCTTTATCGAGCATTCGAGCTTATATCCAAGAACCCGTCACTCCAAGGTTTTATTTAGGTTCTTGCTCTTTAGAAACTAAACTCTTCACTAAATGCTGAATTGGCATTTCGCTACCTATGGTTACAGGTTTGTTCATGTTGGCTCTGCGGGAGTAACCCGACCAGAGAGACCCGGTTTGGATCTAAGCAAACAACCTCCGGCTGTGAGATTAAACAAAGAGCTTGATTTCATTCTCACTTACAAGTTAAAGGTTGGCCTCTCAATACTTTCTTCTTTGCTGTAAATTGGAAAAGTCACTTTCACAAGATTTTAAAGCTATTCTTTTTTGGATGAATAGGGAGAGGATCTGATACGCGAAAGCGGGATTCCATTTGCGATTGTACGGCCATGTGCTTTAACAGAAGAGCCTGCCGGAGCTGATCTCATTTTCGAACAAGGAGACAACATTACGGTATTTCAATTTTGCTTCCCCTTGAAACCAAAAAACTCTTTTAAGTTAACTAACCTAACCAACTTCACCTTTATATAGGGGAAGGTATCAAGAGACGAAGTAGCGCGTATATGCATTGCTGCTTTAGAAAGCCCGTATGCTCTAAACAAGACATTCGAGGTTTTTAAAAAATCAACTATTTTCGATTTTTTCGGGTTTCTATTCAAGATTTTAAATTTCTCATTTGGGCTGTTTTTTTTTGTTGTTATTTTGTTTCAGGTTAAAAGTACAGTTCCGTTTAGTGAGCCTTTCACGGTAGATCCTGAGAATCCTCCACCGGAGAAAGACTACAATGAGTATTTCAAGAATCTGAAAGATGGAATCACCGGTAAAGAAGCTTTAGAACAGAGCACTGTTGCAGTTTAAACCAGGTTTTATCTACTTTTGTAACTCTCTGTTTGTCTGAAAAATCTTTTGAAAAGTAAAAAAAAACAACAACAAAAGAGTTGTGTAGAAACATGTTTCATGTATGTATACTACATATATCGTACATTGTAGATTAGATATACAAAAGCTTATCGACGACAACAATAAAGATTGTACCTTTTGATCCGTGGAGGTTCTTCAACAAGATTCTGAAATTTCACTGCCATCTCTCTGTCTGTGAGAATTTTCCCTTGTGGTGTAAGAAAAGCAGTCCGTTGAAACGGTGGAGACCAGATTCCACTTGTCTGGTAATCAAACTGAAACTCAGACACATCAATGTACTTCTGAAGAAGTTTGTCTGAAACTGGTTTTGTTACAGTCTGAGTTAAAACAGAGGAAGACGAAGATGGAGGTGGAGATTCAGACATTCTTTAAAATTAAAGACAAAAGTGAAAGAATCTAAATTTTTGATTGGAGGGTTCCATGAGTAAAGGATTGATGGAGACTTTTATGGTAACGACAAATAATGGATTTTTTTGGCAAATAATGGAGGATGAGTGGAGAGGAGCACAGAACATTTGTCTGTGTTCTTTTTTATCCTTTTTTGTTTCTTTTCTAATGTACAGATGCGTTTTTGGATTACATATTACAAAAATATACAAATCATTGAACTCTTTTCACATGTTAGATGTGTTTTTTTTTGCTAACCTCAAAGAATTAAGAAAATACATCTGCCATGTGAGATTTGGCATATGGGCTTCAATTTTAGTGTGTGTTGAAACCCATTGGGTATACAAAATCCACTAACTAGAAGATAAAGCCACTAATGTTTCATTTTTATTAGATCATCTTCATTTTGGTTTTATATATCGAAATTGAGAGTGACTGAATTATCGCCGTTTACCAATGTTAAACATGACCACCACCACTTTGTGACCTTTTCAAGAAAATGAAAGCATTTAACAATATAGCTACAAAAATGTAAACGAAATGTCGGATCTACCCCTTGTCTCAGAGCAAAAGACGAGTGAAAAGCCGGGGTATTTTGGTAAATTTACACAAAATATTTCACCGAAAATCTATCGGTGATCATGGTACAGCTAGAAAGACACCAGTCTTACCCTAACTTTATTCAAAGTCTCTGTCTTTCTGTAGAAATCTGGGAAAATAATTTGAATCTAAAGAGAAAAAAGAAGAAAAGCAAAATCGAAGTGAAGGTGTGGGATCAAAGAGCAATTTTCTTTTCTTTATTGGTAGAAAGTGTGAAGCTTTTTGATTTAGTGAGAAGTGTTAATGGCGGGTTACAGAGCTGATGATGATTATGATTACCTATTCAAGGTGGTTCTGATCGGTGATTCAGGTGTTGGAAAGTCCAATTTGCTTTCTCGATTCACCAGGAATGAGTTTAGTCTCGAGTCTAAATCAACGATCGGGGTTGAGTTCGCGACTCGTAGCTTGAATGTTAATGAAAAAGTTATCAAAGCCCAGATTTGGGATACTGCTGGTCAAGAAAGGTTTAAGCTTTTTGATTTTCTTCCTTGTTTTCGTGTTCATTTCTTCATTTCTTGATCTGGGTTTTTAGCCTTTTGACGCATTGTTGAGTCAAAACCAATCCTCTCTGTTATTGAGTCTAGAGAAATGCATTGTTAGGTTAACGCAAACAGATTTAGATTTTTTTTTCGGTGGACGGTGGAAATTGTGGCTTTTTATGGTTTGTTCAATTGACAAAGGAAGTCAAATGGAGCTTCTAATTTTCATTAGATCTGGTCTTAGTTGATGGAATCAGTTTATCGTAGAGGAAGCTTGAGAAAGCAACCTACCCTGTGATTCTGTATTTTATTACTGGAGGTGAAGTGATACATTGTAGAACTCGACAATTATGCTTAAAGTTACCAGCTTCGTAGAAATTCTGTTGTTTTGCTGATTAGTTTGATCGATCAGTGTTTGATGATAATCTTTGGTATCGTAATTGCTCTCGTTGGTAGAGAAGCTAATTCATTGTCTATATGCTCTTTAATTCTGATGACAATAATTAGGACTAAGTTTAATCGAATATCGATTTCTTTAATGATTGGTTTCTACCATTGAAGCTAAAGAAAGAGCTTGTTGCTTTGAAGTCTTTCTTGTCGTTTCGGTTCTTCTTATGTGTTATCTTTCTTATTTAACAGAGTTTCCCTGACAACCTGACTAAATCCTTGATGTGTTTTTACCGTCTCTTTTTTAGATACCGAGCAATCACTAGTGCTTACTACCGAGGAGCTGTTGGGGCGCTTCTTGTCTACGATGTAACCCGACACTCAACATTTGAAAACGTTGAGAGATGGCTAAGGGAACTCCGTGACCATACTGACCCAAACATAGTTGTGATGCTTGTGGGAAACAAATCCGATCTTCGCCATCTTGTGGCGGTCCAAACCGAAGATGCAAAATCTTTTGCAGAAAATGAATCACTCTACTTCATGGAAACCTCAGCTCTTGAATCTACTAATGTTGAGAACGCGTTTTCTGAAGTACTCACTCAGATTTACCATGTTGTGAGCAAGAAAGCAATGGAGGCTGGTCAAGATTCGGGTAATGTTCCTTCGAAAGGAGAAAAGATCGATGTTGATGTCTCCGCTGTGAAGAAAACCGGTTGCTGCTCCAACTAAAAGACTACAGATTGAGGAATTTGGTCTGTGTCCTCAAAGCTGCAATCGGTTTTTAAATTTTACATTCAATTTTTTTTTTGAAGATGTTTGCCTTTTTTTTTTTAGGAAACAATCTATGTTATGCTTTGTTTTGCTTGCTTGAAAATTGCTTAGGTTTGGTCTGATTCTGTACCGGTCAAGGGATTTTGTAATTCAATCCGCAAATATCTCTAAACCAATATTTATTGTGCTAATCCTTGAACACAAAAACTAATTTTTGTTATACCAATTTAGAAAAAGAAGAAAATCAAATTCTAAATTCTCGATCGTTAAAAAAAGAGAGATCACAATTCAGCCTCTAATAATAGAAACTTATAACAACATAATTCATTTTTAGAATTTTTTTGTATTCTCATTTGACTTTTCTTGACTTCAATTTTGTCAAAAATAATCCATGTAATCTCTTCAATTTTCTTTAAAAAAATCACGTCGTCAGTAACGCCGAAAGAATATTCCGTTACTAAGATGACGGATTCTACCGTTTCCCGCCAAGAAAATAGCCCAAAACGACCTAACGACAGTAACGGCGAATTCAAACGTCTATTAGTTCCCGAAACCTCTCAGCCGGAGGACGAGCGCCGCGAATCGCCACCGGAGAATCAGGTCCTGAACGTAGAAGAAGACAGAGACAAAACCTACGATTCGGTCCCGCCATTCTCATGGGCAAAGCTATGGAAATTCACCGGACCTGGATTTCTCATGAGCATCGCGTTCTTAGATCCAGGAAACATCGAAGGAGATTTACAAGCCGGAGCTGTGGCTGGGTACTCTCTCTTATGGCTTCTTCTATGGGCGACGCTAATGGGACTTCTGATGCAGCTCCTCTCAGCTCGGATCGGTGTCGCGACGGGTCGGCATCTAGCGGAGATTTGCCGGAATGAGTATCCATCGTGGGCGCGAATCTTGCTTTGGTTCATGGCGGAGGTTGCTTTGATCGGAGCTGATATACAAGAAGTCATCGGAAGCGCAATTGCTCTTCAGATTTTGACTCGAGGGTTTTTACCGATTTGGGTTGGTGTTATCATCACATCGTTTGATTGGTAAGCAAAATTAGGTCAAAATTGAAAAGGAACTAGCTTCAAAGTTTTGATTTGTGTTGTTGTGTGAAAAACAGCTTTTTGATTTCGTATCTGGAGAAATGTGGAATGAGGAAACTAGAAGGTCTTTTCGCGGTTTTGATTGCGACAATGGCGCTTTCGTTTGCTTGGATGTTTAATGAAACTAAGCCAAGTGTTGAAGAACTATTCATAGGTAACTTGAAACAAAGTTTGTAAGATTTAGCATTGTTGCTAATTTGATGCCATTTCTGATTTGGTTTTATGTTGATGATGACTTTGAAAGGTATTCTTGTTCCGAAGCTTGGATCAAAGACTATAAGAGAAGCTGTTGGAGTTGTGGGATGTGTGATTACTCCACACAATGTGTTCTTGCATTCGGCATTAGTGCAGTCGAGGAAGACGGATCCAAAGGAGATAAACAGAGTTCAGGAAGCTCTTAACTACTATACAATCGAATCATCAGCCGCGCTTTTTGTTTCGTTCATGATCAATCTGTTTGTTACAGCGGTTTTCGCTAAAGGGTTTTATGGAACCAAACAAGCTGATAGTATAGGACTGGTTAACGCGGGGCATTACTTACAGGAGAAATATGGCGGTGGGGTTTTCCCGATACTTTATATTTGGGGAATCGGTTTATTAGCTGCTGGACAAAGCAGTACGATAACCGGGACTTATGCTGGACAGTTTATAATGGAAGGGTTCTTAGATCTTCAGATGGAACAATGGCTATCAGCTTTTATAACGAGAAGCTTTGCGATTGTACCTACTATGTTTGTTGCTATTATGTTTAACACATCTGAGGGCTCACTCGATGTTTTAAACGAATGGCTTAACATTCTTCAATCGATGCAGATTCCTTTCGCGGTTATCCCTCTTTTGACTATGGTTTCTAATGAACATATTATGGGTGTCTTCAAAATCGGACCTTCGCTCGAGGTAAAGCCATTTCGTCATCTCTCTTTACTGTAATATTCTTTCGATTGTAACGAGTTAGTTGGATCTTTGCAGAAGCTAGCGTGGACTGTGGCGGTGTTTGTGATGATGATAAATGGGTACCTTCTTCTTGATTTCTTCATGGCTGAAGTGGAAGGGTTTCTTGTTGGGTTTCTGGTTTTTGCTGGAATAGTTGGATACATCAGTTTCATCATCTATCTTGTTTCTTATAGAAGCTCACAATCTTCTTCCTGGTCGAGCTTAGAAATGTCACAGAGAGTTGTTTCCACAGAGACGTAGAACCCCAAAACTCTAGAATTCGTCAACCCTACAACTTATCAGAGCAAAGGCAGAAGCGGTTAGGTCGACTTTGATGGATGGTTTTGCTGCATTTGCTCGACGTACGGTTTGATTTTGAGACAGTAGACCAGAGGCAACTTACGTGTGAGATGATGCAAAGACTGAATCGGTTAAGATTGTAGATTGATTTGTTGAGTTTTGTTCTAACATTGCAAATGTAGAGTAGAACTATGTAAAAAACGTTAATGAACAGAGAAGTGATTAAGCAGAAACAAAATTAGAGAAGTGATACTAAATCTCAAAATTTATTTTCGGTCAGCTGAAGCTCAAAACGTTATAGAGATATGGGTTAATTTAATCTAAATACATAGATGACGTTATGTCTTAAATTTAAGATATTTTAAATCTAAAATTAATTTAAGACATAAAACGTTATAGATAGATGTTTGTTATACTATAAATTTAAGATATTTTAAATCTAAAATTAATTTGATTCAAAAAAGTGATTTTAATTCTTATTTTTCTAAAAGAAAGTTGGTGATTCAAAAGATTTTCTCAAATTAATTAATAGAAATAGATTATTTTAAAATAGTTCTGAATATTTTCCTTTTTCTTGTAAAGAAAATCAAATATAAATAGATAAGCTGTCAAAAAAAAAAAAAAAAAATCAAATATAAATAAATATTGTCTAACCCGTTAAGTAGTTTTCTCAATCATAAGAAACAAAAAAAAAAAAAAAAAGTTAGGTCGTCAATGAGTCTCCCCCATCTTTCTAGCTGCATGTCAAAGTCAAAGATTGATGTAGAAGAAGCTATAAAGAACCAAAACAACGTCGCCTTGATCGTTTCGAAGCATCTCTTGTCAATATAAAGTGAGCGTCGATAAACACGGCGCTCATTTTGGTTGCCTCTGGTCCCGGCGGTTCTTCAGTCACGGACGAGATCCTCTCCTTTCTGATATCTTCTTCAACGGATGAGCTCAACGCCGTCTTCAGTGAGATCGTTTCCGTCGTCTTTGCTGACAGTAGCGCGGACGGAGGTCCAAAAATCTCGTCGGTTTATGGCTTATGGATCGAGTAATCACTATCGGTTGAGTCATACTATAAGGATCTCTTCGAGAACTTCTTCAAAGCCGGTTTCAATCGCGTAGATTTCCGAAAAAAGGCTGAACAAGTGCGTACGGAGTTGAATGCATGGGCTGAAAATCACACCAATGGTCTCATCAAAGATGTTCTTCCTCCTGGATCCGTTACGAGCGTGACAGATTGGGTTTATGGTAACGCATTGTACTTTAAAGGAGTATGGCATACTCCTTTCGACAAGTTCTTGACGAGAGACAGAGAGTTTTTTCTTGTCAATGGAACGTCAGTGTCTGTGCCATTCATGAGCAGCTATGGTGACTACATAGAGGTTTATGATGGTTTCAAGGTCCTTAAGACCCCTTATCGACAAGGCCGTGATGAAGCTGATGATACCAATCACAAATTCTCAATGTATTTCTTTCTTCCGGACAAGAAAGATGGATTGGATAATCTTGTGGAAACAATGACATCTACTTGTGGATTCTTGGATAGTCACATTCCAAGTTACGAAGTTGAAGTTGGTGAATTCGGAATTCCATAGTTTAAGATCGATTACGGATTAGACTGTGGAAAGGCTTTAAGTGGATTGGGATTGCGTAAAATGTCCTTGTACCATAAAGCTTGTGTCGAGATCGATGAAGAAGGTGCAATAGCTGCTGCTGTCACTTTTGTAATTCCTCCTTCAGGATGTCCTCTTTATATGGAGCCTCCAAAGAGGATAGATTTTGTGGCAGATCATCCATTTATTTTCTTGATTAGAGAAGACAAAACCGGAACTGTTTTGTTCGCTGGTCAAATCTTCGATCCTTCCAAATCTTCTCCTGCTTAGGGCTGAAGTTAGGGTTTGGAACCTAGATCGGTTTTGTGTCTGGTGGGTTTGGGGTTTCGATTTGGTTCTGGTTGGTTGTGTCCATTGGATTGATATGTTTAAAGATTATATTGCTTAGCGACTTGTGATACATATCAATCAAAATATAAACGAGTTTTCTCATTGTACTTGTGTAAACTAAATAGTTTTACTAATAAAAAAGTCACAAGATTTGGGGTATTTTTTTTTGAATACCAAGAGGTTCTGGACCAAAACCCGTAATCCCTCCAGCCCCAAAACCACAATATATAATATATTAGTTTCGTCCCAAGCGTCAAATACTGTAGTTTATTTTGCAACACTAAAGTAAACATTATTTGGTTTGATCATGCGATTCAACTAAAAAATTTTATCAAACAAAACTAATAGTCAAATTTCCTACTTTTATAATGTCTCGTCATTTTTTTTTTTATAATATGTTGTTGGATCACCATTCATTTTTCAATGTGGTATTTTGAAGACATGCTCGTTTTTCTCCATAATATTTTGGATGCTGTTGTGAACTGTGTCTTTCATTAATAGTATAAAGGATATATATACGAGGATAATAGCAGGATACAGAGAATAAGGTAAAACCCTAATGGGCCATGGGTCGGTTATGGAGTCCATCTATATGGTTTATAACACTCCCCCTTGGAAGACATAACCGTGCCCGATACTAAACCGGGATCTCTATAATGCGCTGGGGAATGTTGCCTCATTAAAACCTTACCAGGAAAACCCAGTGGGACAAAACCATGGTGAAGGAAAAAGAGTACAACACGCATTACTCCCCCTGATTTGAGCATCACTGTAGATCCTTAAGTCCACGCATCCCGATCTGATGAATGAGCTTCCGGAACGTTGAAGTCAGCAATGATTTGGTGAATAGGTCGGCTGAATTCTCACTTGACCGGATCTGTTGAACTTTGACCTGACCGTCCTTTTGTAATTCATGAGTGAATAAGAGCTTTGGCAAAATGTGCTTCGTCCGGTCTCTCTTAGTGTAGCCGTCCTTGAGTTGAGCAATACAGGCTGCGTTGTCTTCAAATATGATGGTCTTTGATGTAGTAGTAGTAGTAGTAGTAGTAGTAGTAGTATTAGTTTAGTAGTAGTAGTAGCTGCGCCTTAAGGAAGGCTGCCTACGTACCCTTGGAAGGGATCAAGCCACACGTAGTTCCTATTCATTGACCATGCCATAATCTGATCTTATGAATAACCTGCATCAGCAAATCAAACTAAACCAAAGCAAACTGGATCTTCTTTGGTTAGATCAGTATAGAATAAACCCAAGTAAACAACGCAGGAAGAATAAACTTTAAAATTTAACCAAACCTTCCTTTAAACCTTTCCAGTGCCTTTGGGTTGATCATAAACTAAATTTAGACAGAAGACTCACGGCAAAACAAATGTTTGGTCTAGTGTGTCTAGCCAAATTCATTAGAACTTCTATGGCACTGAGGTATGGCATTTCCAGACTGAATGGATCACTATCCAATCTGAGGCTTCTCACCACCATTGGGCCTGGTCAATGGGCGGGCCTGGTCCTTATTAAATCTCCTTGAGTACTCTTTCAGTGTATGCCATTTGATGCACAAGGATTCCATTATTCACGTACTCAGGTTGTAATCCCAAACAGAACTTAATTATTGCCTAGGTCTTTCATTTGAGATTCTTTCTTTAGATATACTCAACTGTTTGGGCGATTACCCAGAGGTTTAACACTACAAGAAATTCGGTCATTGATAGTACACTAAAAACGCTACTATATCGATTTTGTAGCGTTTTCATGAACGCTATGACAGAAGGAGCTATAATAGCCTCACCCCATATGATAGCATTTTTTTGAATGCTATGGAAAATGAACCTATTATAGCAAGTATCATTTGCTATTGTATAAGTTATTCTAGCACTTGTTTCGTGCCACTCTATAATATGTCATGGCTTTTTATTAGTGCCATAGAATATTTTATTATGACACGATTACAATGTTGTTGAATACAGTTATTTGGCTGCCAAAATTGTGCACCTATTCGATCAATTCTGGGATTTATAAAAACCTATTGTGAAACAAAAAATCATAAAACAGCAATGCTTTTTCATTTAAAATCCAAAGCATACAAAGTGTACACATACATCATGAACTCTAAAAGAGAACATGTAAACATACATCAAACCAGTTCATAAACAAAACAGAAAGTCTTTATCAAGTTCTCAAACATAGCTAAACTTAATTAAAAGCAGAAAACATATTTCATTCCATCATCAGTTCAGATTAAGCAATTGAGTTCACTCCTGAAAACAAAAATATCTTAGATTAGTATGACATAGGTAAAATGAATCACAGCAAATTAATGATTACAAATCTCACCATTAATGGTTCCACTTTATCTTCTGGCCATGCAATAGAGGTTCCAAATGCATCTTCCATACACTCGATCTCAGAAGATCGTCTCCAAACTGCAGCATCTTTATCCTTGACAACATCCACCCAGACTCGACATGCTTTAGGGCCCAAAGGTACAAAGTGGACAACACTGGCAGGATTATTCGATGACCAACGTCCTTCAGCAACGACGTGGTTCTTTCTGATCAGATCTATCAACTTACATTTTTGATTTTCCTTGAATGCAACAGGCTACAAAGACAACCAACAAACAACCAGACAAACAATTAAAACAACAAACCACAATCAATCATGTTTATCAAAGTCAACAGCCCAACCATCAATCATGTAACACAGTAAATTTAAAAGAAAGTACCTGCAATTTACGACGCGGAGATGCGCGCGCCGCTTTCAAAGTTGTTGCTGGTTTCTTTACAGGAGCTTTTGGAGTTACTGGAGACTTCTCATTCTGATAATCTGTACTTGATGCTTTAGATGTAGATGGTTGAAGAGGAGGAGATTCTGGAGTTGGCTCCATCACAACTCTATTTGCAGGCCATGCTACAAAACAGTTCAAAGAATCCTCCACATTTCTCATGTTAACTGTAGGCCTCCATAGATATGCCTTAGGGTTTACTACCACATCCACATATACCTTCATTGCATTTGGACCAAGAGGAAGTCCATTTACCAACGCTTTAGGTTCTCGAGTCTGAAATCGACCTTCAGCGATCACTTGATCATTCGTACTATAATCCATGAGTTTGCATTTATTCCTTATACTTGTGCCAGGGCTCTGCGAAATTCAAATGTACCAAACAATGAAAAGAAAAAATAATTATCAAAGACTCAGATCTAGATAAAGAGCATCTACAAATAACAAAAGTTCAGAAACTTAACCTTAGGTGCTATGTTTTCTGGTATACTACCATCAGTTGGAACAATACAGTAATCAGCATCCCATGCAACCATTTCGCCAAGTGCATCCTCAAGAGTAAACATGTCAGGTGCAGGTCTCCAGAGAAATGCTTCTGGTTTAGTAACTAATTCAACTAAAACCTTGACAGAGTTAGGCCCTAAAGGAATTCCATTCACCAACTCATCCTCATCATAAGAAACAACACGTCCCTCAGCGACATTCTCATCAGGACAGGACCAGTCAACCAAATAACACTTGGGAAGTGATTTGGTGTTTACACTCTACATGAAAAACAAACAATGAGAAATCAACTCATAAATATAAACAAAGGCAATATATAAATAGTTGGTACATACTCTATGAATCGAGTTTTCACCGATGTCAGACCCTTGTCTCTGTAATAAGATCTGCTCTAACTCATGAACCTTTTTCTGCAAACGAATCTGCTTTTCTTCCATTGCAGCCATACATTTGCTCTTGACTTGGAAACAAGCCAATTTTGTCAAGCTCATACCTCTACCCATTGCTCTCAATCTTCCAGGATTATCAGGTCCCAAAATCTGTGTAAGCATATCTTCCTTTGGATTCATTGTCGTTGAATCATTAAGACTTTCAGTGTCTATCTCTTTTGCCTTTTGCTGCAAACACAATTACAGATCATAAGGTGGACCAAGCAGGATATCCAATTTCTAAAATCATACTGATAGGTAAAGTCAATACTTACAATCTTTTCAGCAGCAGTAATATTTACAGGCGTACCATCCTTCCTAGTACGCGACTTGACCCAAACTTTTAGCCTTGTGATCTTAGATGGTTCTGAGCTACTCTTTACCAATTCTTCTCTCAATCTGACCATTCCTTTACGCCCACAAGTGTGAGGTATCTGCTTCTTCCTTCTTGCCTTAAATGAATCACTTACAACCTGAATTAGAATGAAAAAAAAGGTGAGTATTCTACAGGCCAATAAACAAAGACAACTAAGTGAATACCTTGAAGGCGTTACTAGTCTTGGCTTTGACAAAGAGACGCCATGCTGTTGGAGGTACATTATTCGGTCGCAGACTCATCCTATCTTTCATGGTTCTAGCTTTCCTAACCTTGCTCACCAGACGTGATTTGGAGGCTCTCCAGAGACATCCCATCTGCTTAAACACAGCAGTCTTCTTATAGTCTTCGTCAATGTCAAACCTTGCCTTCATTCAAATGCACCAGGAAAAGAAAAAACAATTACTAATGTGAGGCAAGTTAAACTTAAAATGTGGATAGTTTAATTATAGCTTACCTCAATAGATTTCCACAGAACAGTTTTGATATCTTCACCAACTTTTTTCCAAGTGTCGATTATGACAGGAACATGTTCCCGTACTAACGGACCCAAGTATGATGATAACAGCACTGACCCTGGGCCACAATGTTCTCCCATATCAGTGAAGTCAACATGTTGCTTTTCATTTGGATCCTTGGCGATGTGTTTCATCTTCGTTGGTCCTCGTTGCTTTTTACGCTTTGGTTCAGCAACTATATCATCATCTGCCGCCTGTTCTTCAGGCACATTCTGTGTTTGCTCATCATCTCCATTAACTACATCATTACCAAGTTCTTCATTCTCCTCATCTGCCGCCTGTTCTTCAGGCACATTCTGTGTTTGCTCATCATCTCCATTAACTACATCATTACCAAGTTCTTCATTCTCCTCATCTGCCGCCTGTTCTTCAGAGTTCTCTTCTAACTCATCTTCTTCATTCAGGCTACCTGCAGCTCCAGTACCTACATCATTACCAGCTTCATTAACTACATCATTACAAGCTCCATTCAGTAAATCATGACCAGCTTCTTCAGTCTCTATATCTGCCGCATGTCCTTGAGCAATGTTCTCTTCTAACACCTCTTCCAAGTCCCTTGTCTTTTTGGTTACACGCTTGTTTTTACGATTGCCCATCTTAGTTCACCTGAAACAAAAGAGAGAAATGTTAGAATACAGTTCAGAGATGAAACACCAGTAAAAAAACAGACACACACAAAGAAACCAAGATGTATAACACTCAAATCAAAAGCAATAATGATCCAATCTAATTAAAAACGAATTCCAGGCCATCATAGATCCACAAAAAAAAACAAAACACTATTCTTTCAAACATAAATTCCTTCACAATCATGACGGGCATTTCTAGCTTCATCAACCAAGTCATCAGCTTCCATGTCCACTACTGCTGGCAATGGCCCCACATCTGAATTTCCATCTTCAGATTCTTCTTCACTGTATCTTCTTGTAGGACCTCTCATAGCTACATACCAACTAGATGACTCATCTACCCTTGAATAGAACACTTGCTTTGCTTGAGAAGCTAATATGTAGGGATCTCTTGCAAATGAAACTTGACTTTGGTTAAGGTTGACTAGCGTGAAGCCATCTTCTTTCTTGACTCCATTACCTATGTTTGCCCATTGACACCGGAATAGAGGAATGTAGAAAATGTTGTAATCAAGAAGTATAATCTCTACCACTCTGCCATAGTAGGATACAAAGTCAACCATCTGAGAAGTGTCTTTCGCACTGGCTCTACACATTGCTGTGGCCTCATATAAGACCCCACTGTTCTGAGTTTGTCTATCAACTGAAGTAGTGTGAAACCGTTGCCCGTTGACAATGTAACCCGTGTAAGACCTTGTGCAATTACGAGGACCGTAAGCCAACCATTTAAGCGTATCTTCATGTTGTTCTGAACTGAGAGGTATCTATTTCAAAAAATTTTAAAGTGTCAGTGTATATTGAAGACAAGTATAGCTACACCAAAAAATAAATAAGGGTGACTCAAGTATGAACTTGCCTGTTCTTTTAACCAAGACGCAAATTTCTGAGTATGCGTACTCCATAATATTGTCGCATCACGTCTACATCTTTCATTAGAATTTTGTAGTTGTTGAAGGTGCATGCTTAAATCGAAATAAAAACCCAATATTAACAGGCTGATGTATCTAATAGAAATAACTGTTAGATATAACAAAAATTGAGAAGAGACTGTTAAGAGTACTTACTCCACATAAGGATCCACTAGAGCCATATTATGAATCACAGCAAGATGGGCTATGTTCTTCTCTTTCTCAGTAAGAGTACATGATGTGGCTGCGGATATCGGACGACCCTCCAGTATAGAGCTGCTCTCATACTCATCATTTCTGTCAGATTTTTCCTCAACACTAGTTGTATTTTTCAAGAACTCACGGCAGAACCTCATGCATTCCTCAGCGAGATACGATTCAGCAATACAACCCTCAGGTCTTGCAGTGTTTCTTACAAAGTCCTTAAGAACTTTCATGTACCTGCAGATAAAGCACATTGAAGATTAAAAGCCAGAAAAGCTAATTGTATAAGAAATAAAGTTAGAAGTTATCAATTTGTACCTCTCAAATGGGTACATCCAACGAAAATGGACTGGTCCACATAACCGAGCTTCCCTGCCTAGATGTACCGTCAAATGCACCATTATATCGAAGAAACTTGGAGGAAAGAACCTCTCAAACATGCAGAGAGTTTCAACAATTTCAGTTTCCATTACTAAAATTGTCTCTCTGTCGATAATTCGCTGACATAGGTGGTTGAAAAATGCGGATAAGCGTCCAATAGCTATCCTAACACCTTTAGGTAACAAACCTGAAAATAAATAGCATTGAAGATTAAAAGCCAGAAAAGGTAATTGTATAAGAAATAAAGTCAGAAGTTATCAATTTGTACCTCTAATCGCAACCGGAAGTAACTGTTGCATCAACACATGATAGTCATGAGATTTAAGTCCTCTGACCGTAGAATCTTCTATTTTCACGCACCTGGAGATATTTGAGCAATATCCATCCGGACCTCTGAAATCAAAAAGGCGCTTACAAAATAGTTTCTTCTCTTTCTTGGATAAAGACCAAGGAGCTGCAGGCAGGTACATTCTTTTTCCACGGGGTTGGGGATGTAAATCCTTCCTAATACCAAGCATTTGCAGATCTTTTCTAGCATTAAGCCCATCCTTTGATTTACCGCAATGCAATAGTGTTGAGACAATGCTAGCAACGACATTTCTCTCCACGTGCATAACGTCTAAATTATGTCTAACCGGCAGTTCCTAGGCCCAAACAAAAAGACAGAAAAGAATACTATATGTTAAAGACAGTTCAAATAGATCAATTCAGAAATGATATATAGAAAAAAAAACAAAAAAACATTAGGAACATACCTTCCAATAAGGCAATTTGAAAAGGATTGACCGTTTCTTCCATCTAGATAACTCATCCTCATCTACTGGTTCATCCTCTTCCTCTGATTCACTGGTTTCATCATTAGAATCTGAGCCTGAACCAACACTTTCTTTCATATTCCTCTTCCTTCCAGTTACTCTCACATTCCCAAAATCATTCTTGTAATTTTTCAGTAGTTGGTATATGTTATGACCACTCAGAATCCGACCTCTTCTCCCATGCTCAGCTTTACCATCGAACCATACTTTCTTTCTTCGATAAACATGTGTTGGTGGCAAACCCTTCCGATGGCACATATATACGTGCTTTCTGCAATTAGTCAGCCACATACTGTCTGTGTGTTTTCCACACACAGGACATGCCATTTTTCCCTTGACTTTACAGCCCGCAAGATTTCCATATGCCGGAAAATCTTGTATGGTCCAGAGAAGCATCGCCCTTAACGTGAAAGTAGTGTGACTGAATGCGTCATACGTTGACTCTCCCTTCTCCCACAGATGATTTAGATCCTCTATAAGGGGTTCTAGGTACACATCTATATTGTTTCCAGGTTGTGTTGGACCAGGAATCAGTAATGACAACATGATGTTCTCCTCTTTCATACACTTGTCAGGTGACATGTTGTAATTGACTAACAAAACAGGCCAAGCACTATAGTTAACATTCTTCATGTTAAACGGATTAAACCCATCTGTCGAGAGTCCAAGCCTAATGTTCCTTTCTTCAGAGGCAAATGATGGGTACTTGTCATTCATTTGATCCCACGTCACAGAATCCACCGGATGACGAATTTTCCCGTCAGTGCTCTTATTACTAAAATGCCACCTTAAGTCTTTCGCCATGTCTTCAGACCTGAACATCCTCTTGAGACGTGGAATTATCGGAAAATACCTAAGTACTTTCTGTGGAATACCTTTCTTCACCTCGCCAGTGCGGGTGTTAATCTTCCAACGTGAAGCGTCGCATTTCGGACAATTGTTGAGCTTCTCAAATTGCTTCCTGAATAAACAACAGTCGTTCACACAAGCGTGTATCTTCTCGTAACCCATATCAAAAGATCTAAGAAACCTCTTCACCTCGTACAACGAGGTGTGCATTACATTGTCCTTGGGTAGCATCCGTGGCAAAGTCTGAAGCAGAAGATCAAAACTTCTGTCAGACCAACCACTCTCTGTCTTTATCCTAAAGAGTTCAACTATCGCCGATAGCTTGCTGTGGTTTGCACAACTTGGGTATAGGGGCGTTTCTGCATCGGCTAGCTTTGCAAGAAACTCATCTTCTAGCTTATCCTCAGCCTCAGCACCCTCACATAAATCTGCCTGCCTAACCAACTCTTCATCTCTAAACTCAGCAGCTTGGTATAACCCCAAAATCTCTTGGTTCCACTGACTTGCATTGCTTCTACTCTCAGTCCCTGATTGCACTTCTCCATGATGATACCAATCCTCTCTCATCTTGTAACTCAAATCCATTCCTCTTGTTACAAGATGATCAACGACAATACCGGCTGAGTGACGATCTACGTTGCGACAGTCAATGCAGGGGCAAATAATCATCTCCATTTCTCCTAAAGCTGCAGCCACAGACCTCACAAAATCCCAAGCACCTCTCTCATAATCCGGTTCAGCTCTTAAGTAAATTAAGATGAGACCAAAAAACAATAAGAAACCTTAACTCTCTTAATCTCCCATTAAACCCTTAAGTATATTTATATATATATTGTTTTTACATACCTGTTCAGATGAACCCATGACTTTTCGACCATTATATGTTCTTACCCATAAGCAAAACATAAAAACTCATAAGAATAACTCAAAGACCAAACAAACACCATAAGCAAAACATAACAAACCTATAATAATAACTCAAACACCAAATCGTTTTCATTGACATTCACATTAACAAGATTAAAGAGACAAGTATTAAACCAAACAAGAATTTCAAAGTCAAAAACATTGGAACCTACAAACAATACCATTATATGTTCTTACCCATAAGCAAAACATAAGAAAAGATAAACTGATCAAACACCAAACAGACTGTATCATAAGCAAAACATAACAAACCCATAAGACTAACTCAAACACCAAACAGACACATTGACATTCACATTAACAAGATTAAACAGTCAAGTATTAAACCAAACAAGAATTTAAAAGTCAGAAACAATGGAACCTGTAAACAAGACAAACTGCTTTAAGCTTCTGAAGATTGGTTTTGTGAGTTTTAGTCGTCAAAAGATCCAACCTGCAAACTAATAACAGAAGCTAAGAACCCTAACCTAAAGATTGTCTTTTGAATGTATATCTCGATTTCAATTGCAGAAATAAACAAAAATCAAAACCAGATTTCAAACAAATAAAAGAGCCATAACCTGAAGCTTATATTCGTGTTAGATCCTCGAAGATTTCTCTAGAGCTACAATGAGAGTAAATGGAAAGTAATTAGAGAAATCGAATTAAGACATTGAGAAATCGAAGATTATATCTACAGTCATTACTACAGATCTGAGTTGCCTACCTGTCGTGGGTTTCTTCTTCGATTTTGCAGATCTCCGGAGACGACACCAACACAGCGACGGAGATGACAGCAACTCAGTGACGGAGAAGACATGCACCAGCTAAAGGGTTGATTTTCCTTTTCGAAACCAGAGAGAAATCGAGGAAAACGACTGGAGATCGAGGGAATCAAGAAGACAGAGGTGGCGGAATGACCAGAATTGGGTTTCCTGGTCGCCGGAAAATCGAGGGAATCGAAAAGACAGAGGTGGCGGAATGACAGAGGTGGCGGAAAGAATTTCGTCGGTTTCGATTTTTAGAGAAAATGACCTAAGTGTGTGAGAGTGTTTGGCTAAGTGTGTGAGAGTCTTTGGCTAAGTGTAGAGTCGCGGAAAAAATAAAGTTTTGGCTAAGTGTTTTGCCTCCAAAATGATTTTCTTTGCTACAGTAGTGATTTTTGGGTTCCCGCTTAGTGAAATTCTATTCCAGCACTAAATTAATGCTACAATATAGTTGCCATCCGATTTTGTAACTTTTAGTAGCAGTTAGTGAATTAGTGCTACAATGATATGCTACCAATGACCGAATTTCTTGTAGTGTTAAATCATTCATATACACTTCTATGATTACAAATCCTTTGTTTGCAAACTTCTTGATAAAAATACATGGACTGATCGGCTCGTTTTTATAGCCTTCTCTGATGAGATATTCGCTTAACCGGTTATACCACATACGTCCGCTTTGTTTCAGTCCATATAAGGATTTGTCCAGCCTTATCCAGTGCTGTTCTCGAAAATCTTTCTTTATATGGAACTTTCTATTTCTGGAAACTTTCCATTTATAGGAAGCTTGATCTTAAACCGTGACTTAGGGTTTATTAAACCGGTTTAACCTAGGATTTAGGGTTTCGGTTTACTTTCGGTTTAACCTAGGGTTTATATTAAAACATTCAATCTATCATGCCATTAAACATCTTTCCATTCACTAACTTCTCAATTAATTCTCCAATCATAAATCAAATCACATGTGCCAATTTTCATGCAAATTTTATCTTATCAAACTTTAATTGGATCATGTATATAAAGCATAATAAATAAATAGCACTTATCTTAATTGGAGAACTGAAACAGAGACCCGAGATCTGATACGGAGATTGGAAACAGTTACGTCTCTTAGCTGGTTGGGACCTCCTACAAAATCTCAATATATATAATCCTGATTCCTGAGAAACTCAAAATTTTATCGGATGTCCCCGAAGGGACACCAGGGTTCGAGGCACGGCCACTGGCAGGTTTACATAGGGGAATTGCCAGCCTCGTGGGATTAGTCCTTGGGCCTAGGAAGCCTTTGGGAGACCCGCGGTTATTCAAAAAAAAAAAAAAAAAAAAAAAAGAAACTCAAAATTTTGCTCATAGAAACATGGCTATTACATTAGTAAAAAGAAAAAAAAATAGGGTTTCTGTAATATACTGCATAAAACAGTTCAGAATCAATAACATATAATCCGTGCATAAATCGTACAAAAATATAGACAGGATTGATAATAAATAATCCGTGCAAAATTTGTGCAAATCTACAGACAGAATTGACAACAGATAATCTGTGCAAAATTCGTGCAGAAATACAGATAAAATTGATAACATATAATCCGTGCAAAATTCGTGCAAAACTACAGACAGAATTGACAATAGATAATCTGTGCAAAATTCGTGCAGAAATACAGACAAAATTGATAACATATAATCCGTGCAAAATTCGTGCAAAACTACAGACAGAATAGATAACAGATCATCTGTGCAAAGTTCGTGCAGAAATACAGACAGGATTAATAACAGATAATCCGTGCAAAATTCGTGCAGAAACAAATATGAACAGAAAACTTATCTCGATAGAGTTTAAAATTTTGTTTGCAGAGACAGCTAGGGTTTTGGTTTTGGTTTTTGTGAGAGAGATTTAGGGTTTCGGGATTTTTTAATTTTTAGGGTAAGAGGCTATCGTGCTGATAACGTGTTGTGAACTGTGTCTTTCATTAATAGTATAAGGGATATATATACGAGGATAATAGCAGGATACAGAGAATAAGGTAAAACCCTAATGGGCCATGGGTCGGTTATGGAGTCCATTTATATGGTTTATAACAGATGCTACTTATTTTCAAATTTTTACTCATAAAATGTTAGCTTGATAGAGAGAAAGTACGGTGACGCTTAGGAGGCAAGCAAGCTAGTATCTGCCGCCGGTTAGAGACAAAGATCATGTGTCACTCCTCTCAACTAAAACTTTCCTTCACTTTCCCGCAAAATCATTTCGAAAAAAAAGTCCCAAACTTTATCATCTTTGCCAACGAAAACAGAGTGTTGTCTGTTGTGTTAGCTTACCCATCAGCTTTCTCCGAAAGAAACTTCTCAACTTCCGATTTTTCACAATCCACCAAACTTTTTTTAATCCCTTTTTTTCCCACTTATTACAAAACCTCACCTCCATGGCTTCTCAAACTTGTTACCCATCCAAATCTCAATCCCTAATTAGGGTTTCTTTCTCTGTTCTCCAAACAGGGGAATTCGAAGATGATGGAGTCTAGGTCTCCGATCTGCAACACTTGCGGTGAAGAGATTGGTGTAAAATCAAACGGAGAGTTCTTTGTGGCTTGTCATGAGTGTAGTTTCCCGATCTGCAAAGCTTGTCTTGAGTATGAATTCAAAGAAGGTCGACGAATTTGCTTGCGTTGCGGCAATCCTTATGATGGTAATCATAAATTTACAAATTTTATTCAAAAGTTTGCTTTTTTGGTTAAAGGGTATTTATAACTTTGGTTCTTTCTACTTTCTTAGAGAATGTGTTTGATGATGTTGAGACAAAGACATCTAAAACTCAATCCATTGTTCCAACACACATCAATAACACTCCTCAGGTGGATTCTGGGATTCATGCTAGACATATAAGTACAGTCTCTACAATAGACAGTGGTAAGAACTAAGAAGCAAACCCAATTTTATTAAACTTTTGATGATCAGGTTTAAATAGTTTGTCTAACTTGTGGATTGTGATTTCTTGTTGAAGATCTGAATGATGAATATGGGAATCCAATATGGAAGAACAGAGTTGAGAGCTGGAAAGACAAGAAGAGCAAGAAGAAGAAGAAAGATGCAAAAGCAACAAAAGCTGAAGAACATGATGGTCGGATTCCTTCCCAACAACACATGGAAGATATGCCATCGTAAGCACATCCTCGTAAAACTCGAATATACGGTTTATGTTGTTATACATTCACCAAAAAGTTTGAGACTTTGATTGGTCTATGCTACTTTTGTTCTCAGGAACACAGAGGCTGGTGCTACAGATGTGCTTTCGGTTGTGATTCCTATCCCGAGGACAAAGATTACTTCATACAGGATCGTCATCATCATGCGGTTGATCATCTTGGCTCTGTTTTTCAACTACCGTATCACGCATCCTGTCGATAGTGCTTACGGTTTATGGCTAACTTCTGTGATATGTGAGATTTGGTTTGCTGTTTCTTGGGTGTTGGATCAGTTCCCTAAATGGTCTCCTATTAACCGAGAAACTTACATCGATCGGTTATCCGCAAGGTTACAAATCTTTTAGAACCCTTATATGCTTAATTACCAATCCTTAAATCATATATGAAATCGTTTGTCAAAACTATGCAGATTTGAAAGAGAAGGCGAGCAATCACAGCTTGCAGCTGTAGATTTCTTTGTTAGTACAGTTGATCCATTGAAGGAGCCACCTTTGATCACTGCAAACACTGTTCTTTCGATCCTCGCATTAGATTATCCGGTGGATAAAGTCTCTTGCTATGTATCTGATGATGGTGCGGCGATGCTTTCATTTGAGTCTTTGGTTGAGACTGCTGATTTTGCTAGGAAATGGGTACCTTTCTGCAAGAAGTACTCAATCGAGCCACGAGCTCCCGAGTTTTACTTCTCGCTTAAAATCGATTACTTGAGGGATAAAGTTCAACCTTCTTTTGTGAAAGAACGTAGAGCCATGAAAGTAAGTAAGCAAGTGGCTTTAAAATCCTTAATTAATCTCATAACATTATCCGATAACTGAATCGAAAAGCTATATATGATTTCTCCTATTGTACAGAGAGATTACGAGGAGTTCAAGATTAGAATGAATGCTTTAGTCGCCAAGGCTCAAAAGACACCAGAAGAAGGATGGACAATGCAAGATGGAACCTCTTGGCCCGGAAACAACACTCGTGACCATCCCGGGATGATTCAGGTTTCGTATCTAAAACATTTGGCCTCAAAGGCTCTGTCTTTTCTTTACCGATGATTGTGTCTTACACTCAAACATGTCTTAGGAAGATACTTGTAGAGTTATTCTTGTTAGTCACGTATCTTCTTTATTGCAGGTTTTTCTCGGATATAGCGGTGCTCGCGACATTGAAGGAAACGAACTTCCAAGATTAGTTTACGTCTCTAGAGAGAAGAGACCTGGCTATCAACATCACAAAAAGGCCGGGGCAGAGAATGCATTGGTAAAACTTTAAAATGTTTCGTTCTTTTTGTGTAATCGAAAACTTAACGTTAAATGTTGTAACACAATTGACAATCCTAATGTTTTTGTTCTTTGTAGGTGAGGGTGTCTGCGGTTTTAACGAATGCTCCATTCATTCTTAACCTTGATTGTGATCACTATGTCAACAATAGCAAAGCTGTGCGTGAAGCGATGTGCTTTTTAATGGATCCTGTTGTTGGTCAAGACGTTTGCTTTGTTCAATTCCCACAGAGATTTGATGGAATCGACAAGAGTGATCGATATGCTAACCGCAACATAGTTTTCTTCGATGTAAGTTATAGCACATTTCAAACTCAAACTCAACATAGTTTTCTTCGATGTAAGTTATAGCACATTTCAA